GTTGCATCAGGAAGGACATTCTGTGTAAAACTTATGCCAAAACAAACATGCGGATAACAAAATTTTCGACTTCCACACCAGATCGGTCGAGGTTCAGGTCTAGTATCAGTAGAAAAGGCAGGGGAAAGGGTGAGATGGTGGCAGATTATCTGCTGTRGCGACCCCTAATGGGAGCAGCTGAAAGACAGAAAGTACAGATAGCTCAGATTAGAGGTGGAAAAAGTTGTAAAATTATTTTTCTTAGTCTCATTTTTTAACATCACAAAAACCTAGAATTTAACACGGGTGTGTAGACCATTTATATCCACTATATACAGTACAGGACTGTGATTTCATAAATAGGAACATTATAAAAAATAAAATAAAAAAATAAGATAAAAAATGTAAAAACAATGAACCATATCACACTGTCAGGTGAACATTATTCCACATGACACTTTGATATGGTCCATAGTTGTTTTTTTTACATTTTTTTATATGTAAACAGACGGTTCATATGGTGTGCATATGACTCTGCTTTTCTTTAAACAATATTAATCATATTTAGTGTCTAGAGTGAAGTATTTCAAACTATTCCACATTTGTCCACAATGGGGTATTTTAGAGGTCTAAATCTCTGCAGAGAAAACAAGCTCTAGGACAGAGTAATTTGTACAGAAGCCTTTACATTTGGTACTATTCAAATTAACAAATTTGTCATTAATTGAAACAGAATATATATATATATATATATATACAATATATATATATACTGTATGTATGTGTGTGTGTGTGTGTGTGTGTATGTATGTATGTATGTATGCATGTATGTTTGTATGTATGTATGTTTGTATGTATATACACATTTTTAAAGATGCTTGGCTAGTAAGATGCCGAGTTTACAAATCCTACTAACTGTCTTCTTTGTATCCATTGACAGGGCCAAAAGAAACCGATACTTCGAATATCCTCTTCTGGAGAGATACATGGAGTGCAAACAAAAGTCTTATTTCCTCGTTAGCATGCTTTTTTTGAGAGGCTTCCTTCTCCTGACCTTCATGACCTCTGCCTGCCTCTACCTGGCATACTTCCACCTTTCGGCCTTCCTGCAGGATGAGTTCAGTTGCTTTGTCCGAACAGGTATGCTGCGGGACCAGGGCTGGGTTCCAGAGCTTGTTCAGTGCAAGATCATTGGGCAGTTGGTGTTCCAGGTGATAAGTGTGGTAAACGGCACCATCTATATCCTGTTGGGACCCATTGTCCTCTTCAGCCTTATTCGACTCTTTGTTTGGGACACTTCTTTCATCTCAGTCTATGGGGTTCTTCCAGCTCTGGATCTCATCAACCGTCAAAGGCTTGGATGTCCACTGAATGACCTCAATGTTCTCCTACTATTTTTGCGTGCTAACGTGGCCCACTTGAAGTCCTATGGTCAAATGAGGGCTTTGTGTTCTCTCGCACCACCACACGTGGGCAACACCACAGCACGGCAAAGCTTGAATGCAATGCTGACACAAGAAGAAATGGAGGAGCGTGAAGAGGCTGCACTAGAGCTTGCCGAGGAAATTGGAGAAGCGAAGGAGGAAGGGAAGTTCAATTTGGTGGATATCATGACTATTCTGGGAGCAGCTCAGGGACGAGTGGCGAACTGCARTAAGAAGACACCTCTCATGGAGGAAAATATGAGTCTGGGTACCACAACATTTATTTACACACTCAAACGCATTCTTCTAGTGGCTATTTTTATCTTCATCATTTGGGATGTACAGAAAATCATAAAATAATTTCCAAAWAAGTGATGCTACTTCATTGCTTTCATGCTTTTCATTATAAGTACCGTTAGATGAGCACCTCAAATACAAAAGGGCATTAGATTTAGTTGGACTTGTGAAACTGAGGAAAACTGAGGAATATGTCTAAATGAAAAAGAAAAACTTTGTTGTTTAGGGCTGTGTTGATTTCAAAACTGAAAGTCCTATACTCTAAAATAGTCTGAAATTTCTGGCTCAAGTAGAAGAGATGGATTTTTGGTTTTTCTTTTCCCTAACTGACCTCTCTGTCTCTTCACAGAGCCAAACCACCAGGGGTACCATGAGTTGAAGGAGACTGCACCATTGAGTCATTACTAGACCTTCAAGGGACTGAATCAGTGTACTAGCAAAGAGGAATAGAGGGTTGAGAAGGTTAGGGGTAGTGAGGGGTTGTCATTAATTAGGCCTCTGTGGTCTGACAACAAAAAAAGCCTCTTTTTAGAATTACAGGGCAGATTTTTCTGACGAATTGTCAATGAATATCGATTTGTCAGTTTTTAGCTGTTGGACATGCCACAGATCTGTCTTCTGTTTTTTTCTATAACCGTGTGTATTTTAAATATGAAGACAATCAAATCTCAATGTTTGTTTGTTTCTGCTGGTTGTTGTTGTTTTGTTTGTTTTTTTATTACTGTAACATAATTTGTCTGTATGACATTTTTACATTAAAAAACAWTTTTTTACCTAGTTTGTACCTAATGTCACAAGCCAAAGTCTGTTCATTGACAGACATGAATTTAGTTTCAGCAACAGACAGTTGCTGACAGTATGATGAGGCAGCACTTTTGAATATATCCTAGCTATATAATTGCTTGTTTCTTGCTATTTTCTTTACCAGTATCTAATACTGCAGTATACCATGAAAAAAATAGCCCTTTGTTTTTAACCTAACAGAAAAAATTTCATGATCTTTAGTGAGTGTCAGAATGCAGCTGAGAATGATTGTGGGTGAACCTTGTAGTACTGTAGAGAAAACGTATTGCTAATGTATAGGGTGAGGTTGAGCAGGAATGCAATTAAAGATGGTAAAACATTSATATTGCAGCATCAYGACACAAATCAATTAATGAAGTTATCAGTCTGAACTCAGTTTTCCTGAMTGAACAGTATACAACTGTTTGTCTTCTCTTGAGGACGTTGTWATTATTCTAAACTAAAGACAGCAAAGTATCTGACCATTTGTACCAACAATGTAAAGCTGAAATTGAATTGTTATGGAACCTGGGGTAAAAATCAGCATTTGCACATCTATAAAATGTAAAAAGGTCCTGACATCTGGAACTATTTGGCACTGTGATGAGAACTGAACTGCTTGTAAATATGTCACTTGTTCATTCTTTAAGTGAAATATGAACATTTATGTTATGTATTTCTAAATTAATAAATCATTTTATTTACCAGTTTTATTCCTAWTTTTTTAAGTTATCTTACTGAAATTAAGAGTGACAAAGAAGTCAAACAATTTCCAGTGAGTTAATGTGCACATGTATGTTTTTTATTTTAGGCCAACACCTGCAAATACTGTACGTACACATCAGATAGACAAAAACATTTTAACATTTCCATACAAAAAAAACAAAAACAAACATAGACCAGGTAAAAATTATTTTCATAACCCTTAATTTTTTTTGCAAATAAAAAATGACATAACAAAAAAGGTCTAACTTAAGAATTACTATAAATATCAAAACATTAATTATGCTCACACACACACACACACACACACACACACACACACACACACAC